ACCCAAGGGGGGCTCTATTTTCTAGTCAGCTTAAGAAATACTATGCAATATGGGTCGGCCATGTGTACCTCATTCCTGTAGGGCTTTCTGTGTCTTTGCTGTGCCCCTGCACCCCTAAAGAGGGAAGGCACGGATTGCAGCCCTTGTCAGGCATCCATCTGAGAACACCTGCTACCACAGTCCTGCAGGACCACTGAGGGACCAGGCAATGAGGATGTCAACCTCCCCCCGCTCAGAAGAAAGCAGCAGGATTCCAAGTCTGCTCAGCTCTTGGTCTCTTGTTTTTTTTAATCTCTATTACCTGACAACTGATTTTGTTCAAGTCAGCATCAAATGCCATTTCATGAACGGCATTGTGTCCCAACCAGAGGAGCATCAAGTCTGGAGAAAAGCTGGGCACGGTGGTGCACACCTTCAGGCCCATCACTTTGGAGGAAGAAGTCTGGTCTACATAGTAAGGTCCAGAACCTGCTGATACAGGGAGATATTCTCTCTCTGTCTCTCTCTCTCTCCCCCCCTCCCTCCTTCCCTCCCTCTCTCTCTCTATATGTATGAATGAATCTGGAGGAAAACAAGACTCCACTCAGACTAAAATGACTGCAGAGGCACACAAACTGATCCAGTGGAAACATTAGTGGAGAGAACGACAGCTGGGCTCACTTAGAAGAAAAAAGAGAGTTGCAAGATTAGCCCAGAGCCTGAGCAAAGACACAGGCTGAAGAAATATACAGTCCTTGGAAGCCAGAAGCAGAGGCTGGTCTTGAACTCAAGATCCTCCTGCCTCAGACTCCTGAGAGTTGAGGTTATGTGCAGCACCATGTCTTGTCCACATGGATTTTTCTAGAACAGTACGACCAACAGAACTCCCTACCATGATGAGAAAGTTCTCTGATTTTGCTAGTTTAATACTCATGAGTTCCACGTGATCGTCAAACATGTAAAATGTATGACCAAAGAACTACATGTTAAAATTATACATAATGCTAGGTAGTTGGTATTTCCCTGCACGTGGTCACCATGTACGGGGCACAGCTCTAAAGAGGTAATATTACTTCCTCTAGAGAGGCAGAAACACCCTCCCTGGAGTGGACAGTGGAGGAACGCACGCTGACCAGAGATGGGCTTCCGAAAGGACACGAGGACAAGCAGTCAGGAGACTCAGCCTCAGCGGGAGCAACGCTGGCTGTCCTCCTGGCTGGGAGGGTTTTGAGGGATGCCGCTGACCAGCAACTCCCGGACCTCCTCCTGATGGGCCAGTCGCTCGCTACCTTCCTGCAATCTCATCCTCTTAGGCTGTCCCCTCACCACTCACTTTTAATGGTTACTCTGTTGTTGTCTTCCTCCATTGCTTGAGGCTCCTCCTCTTCCAGGTGTGAAATAATCTCAGGCCTAGGGAACTGGTTTCCTAGGGAAGAAGGAAGACTCATAATTTAGAGGTTCAATAACTCCCAAGTCTGTGTGTTAAAGATTTTCAGATAATTAAAAACTGCAAAAACTCTCCCAGAAGTGAAATGAGGCTTATGACCAAACTCCAAAACACTGGATCTCAGTATTACAGCCCTCTCTCTCCCTGCCACACTACAGACACCTCCTCAGGTGTGGAGTTATCTTGTTTCAACCGTGGAAGAAAGGTATGATGTACCCTTGCCATTCGTGTATTCGTGGAGGCAGCTGTGTTGCTCAACACCCAGTAGTGCAAAAATAGCCTATACAGGAAACTAAGTATTGGGGCCCAGGCAGGCTGGTGAGATGGCTCAGAAATTAATACAGTGCTCTTCCGGAGGCCCTGTGTACCTGAGTTCAGTTCCCAGCCAACAAGTCAGATGGCTCACTACTACCTATTAACTGCAACTCCGGGGCATCTGAAGGGCCTCTTCTGACCTCTGTGGGCACCCAAACATACTGCACTTTAGTGTGGATAGTGTGATGGAGTTCCTCAAAAGGTGAGTATCACAGTTCTTTGCCCTCCTCCATCCTTCCTTTGTCTGCTCTTCCCCATCACTTAATTCCTTGGTTCCCAAATCCCAAACATTGTACGCCACCTCATTATGGACTTGTTTCTTTGCCTCTTCTGTCTCAAATACAGAATCCAATACAACAGGACTTTACATTTATTGTAAATTCCTAATGGTATCCCAAGACCTGAGCTGTGTGACTTCACTAATTGGCATTACAATTTTTGCATAGCTGCATAGTATTTGTAGTAGCATTTAATATCTGGTATTTTTCTGCAGATTAGTTTCCAATGTTTATGTTTGTACTTTATATGGACCCTTTACATCAGACCTACAAAAGGCAAGGAAGGGCCACTGATGAAAAAAGATTGGCAACAGATACAACAGTAACTAAGCTAGCTTAATATAATGAACACATGGAGTGCTTGCTGGATGTGTCAGCCTGTGGGTGTTTGCCATTAGAGGGTGTGTGTGTGTGTGTGTGTGTGTGTGTGTGTGTGTGTGTTGTGTGTGTGGCGATTTGGAATATAAATGTATATCTACATCTAGTGGTCACTGTTTGGTATGGTGGGGCTGTTTTCCTCTGATGTGTGTCTTTTGCTCAAGGAATCCGTGTCCCGTGAACATGAGATTTTTTCCAAATCCAGCTTTCAGGGAAGGAAGATTCCAACCTGAGAATCAGAGCTGCTAAATAGCTGAATCCAAAGTGATCATTGCATGCCTGTGTATTGTGTGTGACTATGCACATGTGTATCCACACTCCTAACCTTCTACGCGTTTTCCTAGCTGGTCCTCAGCTTTACTGACATTTCAAGAGCATCTGCAGTCACCATGTTTTAAGGATTTATATTTTGCTTTCAAGTTTGTATATATGTGTTTGTGCATATATGCAAGTGGGTGCAAGTGTCCATGAAGGCCAGCGGAGAACATGGGAGCGCCCCTGGAGCTGGAGTTACAGGCATTTGTGCCACCTGACCTGGATGCTGGGAACCCATCGATTACCTGAATTGCTAACCTGCTCCTGAAGAGAACCTAAGTTCAAGTCTCACCTCCTAAACCCCCATTTTTAAAGTCCTGTGTGCCTTCCAGTGTTGAGTTTCCTCTAGTATGAAACATGTCACTGGTGCAGGAATCGGGGAGGTTTGGGAAGCTCATGAGACTTCCAAGGAAGGTAGAAGACCACCAAGCCTCCTCCCTGAGGTTAAAGAAACAGTAAACATACTCTGGACAACCGATTCTTCCACGATTCAGGGAACTGCACTGATGCCTGGAGTTGAGACACTGCCCTTGCTGGCATGGTTATTTTGGAGGTGAAGCTGCCCGAGGCATCCATACTCCTGTAAGTAACCCCTCAGGCACGCTGCTGAGTATTCCTAGTAGCTGAGTATTCCTCATCCTGCTGAGAGGACCAGGATGGAACGGTTTCTCTCTCTGCCATTTTCCTTCCTGGAGCTAGGAGACAATTTTGTGCATTGTCCCAGGAAAAACACAACAGCTGCTTACGTGTATTTAGGAATAAGCAACCCATGCTTTTGCAAGCATAAGGTTTGGCCGATTTGAATCATGCAGTGGGGGGTTATTGAAGGAAGCATCAGTCTTGCATCTAAATAGCTGGTTCTGAAACTTCAGAGTTCCTTGGTAATGCAGAAGTAACCCCATTCTCGAGGTATATTTTTTTAATGAGAAATGCAGGAAAAACATGGATTCAGTGAAACCTGCACTGGGAAACCATGGAGACGTAACGGGAAAACGAGTGACCTTCTGAGATGAACTCTACAGAACTGTCAATCACACAATGGCTTGAATATATCAAAGATCAATATAATATTCCTAGATCCTAAGATTAAATAAACAGTGTTAATGCTCAGTCAGGCGAAGTGGCCCAGCAGGTAAGGTGCTTACTGCCTAGCCTGATGACCTGAATTCCATCCCTGCAATACACTGGGTAGAGGGAGAGAATGAATTCTCTGTGAGTTCTAGGCAAGACTGGTACCCCCCTGCCCCAAAATGATAACTTTCATCATGATGCCCAAATCAAGGAAATACTGTGAGTGTTTTCACTAGGAAAGTATTGATATGTGCTTAATTCACTCCTTCACAAAATTTGTACTCTACCCCTGTAACTAGTCACTGTTTTTGACCATACCATGCTGAATTTTCTGATTAACAGTATCTGAGAGCTGTCTCAAATTAAGGGCATTAAAAAGGTCTCTCTAAAGATTAAACCCAAGCAGGTTAAGAAAAGCATGATCCCTGAGGGTTTCAACACTAACTGCCCTCAACTGGCATCTCTGGAGAATGGAACTGGTAGTGCTGAGTGAGGTGGGAGGGGTGGCTAAAACACTTCCCACAGAGCTGGCACTGGTAAGGAATGTCATGAGTGTGAACCCAGTAGTGCTGGACCAGATAGGAGCTCTGACTGAAAGCTCGGCCACAGTCACAGCACTGGCAGGCTCTCTCCCCCACATAGCCATGCTTCTGCTGATAGCGAAAGACATGTGTCCTGTGGTGCATCGCAGGGGAAAGAGACTTTGCCAACTCGTGGGTTCTGAGATGCTGAGAGAGATGCACTTGGTGGATGAAAGCTTTGCCACACTCAAGACATTCATAGAACTCGGCCTGACCCTTGTCACCCACCCAGGGGCTTTTACAAGCTGGGGGAAGGTTTCCTACCTACATTACACCCCTCGGGCCTCTCACCATAATGACTCTTGAGATGTCTGTTGAGGTGGGGCTTGAGGAAGAAGGCTGCGTCGCAATGGGAACATTTAAAGGGCCGTATTCCTAAGTGGAATGACTCGTGCCTCCTGAGGCTAAAGATTTGCATGATGGGCTTATCTGGTCCTTCTCGGGTCTGGGAAAGCCATAATACGCTGATACATTATGCAGACAGCATTGCACAGAAGTAGAAGTCTAACCTTTATGTGTTTTGACAGGTAGGAGCTGTGTTATTTCCATTTGTCATTGCTGAAAGAAATGGCTTAAGAGAAGAAGCATAAGGAAGGAAGGGTTAATTCTGCCTCATATCTTGAAGGGATTCAGGCCATCATGGCAGGGAAGATGTGGCAGCAGGAACACAAGGGGGTGGGTCGCATTGCATCCGCAGTCAGCCATCAGAGAGACATGAATGCTGGTCGTGTGCTTTGCCCTGTTTCTCTCTGTCATTCAGTCCATGTGATGGTGCCTCCCATAGTTAGCATCAGTCATCTAATTGTCTGGAAACCCCACCACATACACACCCAGAGTCGTACATCTTAGGTGACTCCAAATCTAGTCAGACTGACTGTGGACTTTAACTACCACAGGTGCCTGTTACTTGCTGTAACTCAGCTCTACCTCCATCTCTTGACTTACCATCCTCCTTCCTGCCTTCCACTTCATCCTTTGGTTTATGGTCCTGCTTTATTCTGGTTCCCTATGTTCTATTATACTTTTTTCTTTTTTTGTCTTTTTGAGACAGGGTCTCCCTGTAGCCCCAGCTGTCTTGGAACTCACTATGGAGACCAGGCTGGCCTCGAACTCACAAAGATCCACCTGCCTCTGCCTCCCGAGTGCTGGGATTAAAGATGTGCGCCACCACGCCTGGCCGACCACTCCTATTTTAAAAACCTATAGCTGTACCTGTAAAGGGCTTCAACTGTCTAGTCAGCTTGAGAAATGCTTTAAAATATGGGCCCTGTGTGTTTCCTTCCTTCTCTGGCACTTCAGAGCCTTTCCTGTGCTCCTCCACTCCTGAAGATGGATGGCCCGGACTGCAGTCCTTCTCAAGCCTCCATCTGAGAACACCTGCCACCAAAGTCCTGCAGGACCACTGAGGAAACAGTGCACTGAGGGTGTCCATCTCCTCCTGCTCAGACGGAAGCCAAAGGATTCCAACTGTTTTCTCAGATCTGAGCCTCTCACTGTATTCAATCTTCTCTAACAACTGATTCATTCAATTCAACACCAAATACCTATTTCATGTCACAACCAGATGGGCATCAATGTGTAGAAAAAAGACTCAGTCAGACTGACGTGACTGCAGAAGCAGAGGCAGGGGACCGACCCCATGAAGACACTGGAGAGGAGGATGGCAGCCGGGCTCAGGAACAGACAAAAAGAAGTGACAGGATGAGACAACAGCCTGAGCCAAGGTATCGACTGGAATACCAGGTCCTGAGAAGCTAGAAGCAGCCAACGGGCCAGAATGGGAAAAAATTTAATCTTTTGCTAATGGTTAGGGCTTATTTTTCTTGAGGGCATTATGAAAGTGGTCAGGATTCTGGGATTCATAGAGACGTTTGCTTGGGTGGAAGAGAAGTCAAGGAAGTCACACAAGAGTGATGACGAAGAGATGTCATCCTATCAGACATATAATATCTCCACGTGGCTAATGACCACATTACACGGCACAGTTCTAAAATACAACCGTACTGCCCTGCTCCCAGGTGTCAGGGGAAGGAGAGAGGAGAGGGAGAGGAGGGGGACAGGATGGGGAGAGAAGGAGGAGAGGAAGGGAGAGGAAGGGAACAGGAGGGGGAGATGAGGTGGAAAGGAGAGGGAGAGGAGGGGAGAACTAGAAAGACACAAATGAATAGAAATGGAGGAGACAGAACTCTGGAGAAACAAACGCCCTCCCTGGTGTGGGCAGTGGAGGAACGCATGCTGCCCAGAGATGGGCTTCCGAAGGGACACGAGGACAAGCAATTAGGAGACTGAACCTCAGGGGGAGCAACGCTGGCCTTTCTCTTGGCCTGGGAGGGTTTTGAGGGATTCCGCTGACTAGCAACTCCTGGACCTCCTCCTGACGGATGGGCCAGTCACTTGCTGCCTTCCTGCGATCCCATCCTCTTAGGCTGTCCCCTCACCACTCACTTTGAAGTGCTCTATTGCTGTCTTCCTCCATTGCTTTTGACTTCCTTTCCAGAAGTGAAATAATGTCAGGCTTAGGGAACTGGTTTCCTAGGGAAGAAGGAAGACTCATAACTTACACGGGTTCAAAAATCCCAAGTCTCTGTGTTAAAGACTTTCAGGGAAAAAAAAGTTGCAAAAACTCTCACAAGAATGAAACGAAGCTCTTTTCCCTCAATGACTTTAAACCCTGTCTCTCCCCTCCACACACGCAGCAGACACCTCACCAGGTATGGAGCTATCTTGTTTTCCCACCTGTGGGAGAGGGAGGCACCTTGGCATCTAGCTCACGGAGGCAGGCATGTTGCTCAACCTCCATCAATGAGGCCTGAACAGTAAAATAATTATTGGGGCAGTGGTGGGCTAGGCAGACGTCTCAGAGGTTAAGAGTACATATTGCTCTTCCAAAGGACCTGAGAATCCGAGTTCAGGTCCCAGCAAACAAGTCAAAAAGGCTCACTACTACCTCTAACTCCAGCTCCAGGGGCATCTGAGGGCCTCTTCTGCCCTCTATGGGCACCCAAACATACTGCACATTAGTGTGGATAATCTGATGGAGTTCCTCAAAAGGCTCGCATTGCGGGTCTTTGTCCTGTGATAACCCCACCCTTCCTTCCTTTCTCTGCTCCTCCTGCCCTTAGTTCCCTGCACCAACCATTTCACACCACCTAATTATGGACGTGCTCATTATTTCCCTCTTTCCAATCAAGTACACAATTCAATACAGCAGGAAGCGCAGTTTATTTTGAATCCCTAATGCTATCCCAAGACTCAAAACTTTGTGACTTTCCTGAGTAATGAATTGCATTACATTTTTGGCATATCCAGATGGTATCTATAGTAGGTATTATTTAGTATTTTTCTTTAGATGAGTTTTCAGCGCCTATGCCTGTATTTTACATGGAAGCTATATCCACCCTACAAAAGTAAAATGACGCCACTTGCAGAATGAAGAGGTAATATAACGGTGATACAACCATAACTGAGGTTATTGAGTACACGGAATTCTTTTGCACCCAAGGGTCAGGCCTGTCCTATGCTCTTCCTGTTAAAATGGAACATTAATCCAATGCAAAGACTCCTTAAGCCCAAATTTCCTGTTTCTACCTGACACAAAATGTAAAAGAAAAATCAGAATGGGAGCATCTTTCTGGCACTGGACTTTAAGGGAGTGGATTCTACAGTAAAACCACTTACACTCAAACTTAGCTTTAAACAGATAATTTAAAACAAAGTGACTCAGACCGTTAATCCCAGCACTTGGGAGGGGAGGCTGAGGCAGATACTTCTCTGTGAATGTAAGACCCGCATGGTCTACATAGTGAGTTCCAAGCCAGCCAGAGCTATATATCCTATATAGACAGCTATATACTGTCTATACCTATATAGACACTAGACAGATTATATACCCTTTCTAAAACGGTAAGTAATTTAGCTTTCTAATGGCTCAGATTCCTATTCACAGCAAGGCAATAGTAACACCAAGAAACGTACCTCTCCCACAGGCCTAGGTGGAGGTTAATCAAGTGACACGCGTAACTTAGACCTGTACTTGACATTTTGAAATTAAAATATTGTTTTATTTCTAAGAAGGGGCCAAGGAAAAGGGAGGAAGAAGAGGAGAAGGTAGAGAGGGCAGCCCCATAGAGAGGCGGCTCAGTGGCACTGGCTGCTCTTGCAGAGGACCCAGGTTTGGTTTCTAGCACCCACATGGTGGCTAACAACCATTTGTAACTCCAGTTCCAGGGGATCCAGTGCCCATTTCTGACCTCCATGGGCATTGCATGTTTTTAGTGGACTTATATACATGCATGAAAAACACTCATACCCATAAAATGAATAAATCAGAAAAAGAAGAGGACATGAAGTTGGGAGGGGGATGTGGTGGTGGAGGTCTGGAAGGAACTACAGGAAGGACAGGAGTTAGATATGATCAAAATACACCATATGACATTTTCAAAGAATAACTAAATGATCTGATCAAAATACATCATTTGAAATTCTCAGAGAATAAACAAACTTCAAAAACAAAATAAAATTCTTCCTCTGACCCAAGCTGAAACTCAAGACAGCAAACCACCGTTACTAAGGCAAGGACACAAGGGTGGTCTAGCACGAAGGAGTCGAGCTCAGTAGAAAGAATACACTTACCTATAAAGACCAGATTCTGGTAATTCTCCAACATCACCTCCTGGTACAAGACCCTCTGAGAAGCACTAAGGTAGCTTAACTCCTCTGGGCTGAACTCTATAGTCACATCCTCGAAAGTCACCAACTCCTAAAACACCAGAAATACCCTTAAATGACGGAAGCACAGGAATTATCTTAAACCTGATGAGAAAACCTAAGCTGGAATAATGGCATTGCGGGAAGCTGAATTAACTAAGTGCTTAAGGATGTGAACTCTGCAGCCAGACTGCCAGGGCACACCCCAGCTGTGCCACTTGACAGCTGTGTGGCCTTTGACCAACTACTATTTCTCTCACATATGAAAATGGGCTGGAGAGATGGCTCAGGAGCTAAAAGCACTGGCTGCTCTTGCAGAGAACCCGGGTTTGGTTCCCAGAACCCACATGGCAGCTAACAATCAGCTGTAACTCCAGTTCCAAAGCTGTGACTCCAGTTCCAGAGGACTGGACCCCCTCTTCTGGCCTCTGAGAGCACTGAGTGCACATGGTGCGCTTATATACACTCAGTCACAATTCACACAAAATAAAAATAAGTATTTTTTTAAATGAAAAACAGGTATAAAGCTCAAAGCATTCAAACACAATTCAGGAGGTGGGCAAAGAGGGAAAGCATTTAGTAATATACAAGTGCAGCAGAAAAGTAAAGCAGGGAAGACAAAAGAAGAATTTCAGACAAGGTAGATGGGAAAAGGTTCAGAAACATTTTAAGCTATCAGTTTAATGGGAATGAGGATGGGACTCAATAATTGGAAGAGCCCCACATTCGAAAACCAAGTCACAAGACGGCTTAACTCACCTGGGGCCCAGGAGACGGCAGGCTGTCTGACATCGCTGCGTTCTGCGTCTGCTCTTCTTCAGTTTCCATCTTTTCTTCTGGGGACATCTCCTGAGCAGGGGAACCTAGAAGAGAATGCAGTCTCAGAGTTGAGTGTTTTCTGGAAGCACCCACACACATGCACCCGCACACACACACACACCTGCACACACGAAGCAGCCCACCACCACCTTCATGCCACCGTGTCCCAAGCCACAGAAGTCAGCAGTAGCTCCGCACTTCCCATGGTCAAAGGAAGATGACAGAAATAATTGCTGTACTCAATAGAGCCAAGCTCAAAAGGACAAGTAACTTCCCATTTCTAAATCTTTCAATGGGTCCCCCATATTCTCAGTAAGGTGAACCTTCTCTGTATAGGTGATTTTTGGTCTGTCAATCAAAATAGCCAGGAAACCTCCCTTTCTAAATGCAAATCAGAAGTAACAATATCTACATCTCTAAGGGCTCTGGTGAGTGATAAATATTACCAATGTAAGTAAAACACACTGTAGGTAATTTTTAAACTAAAAAGATTTTTAATTGTCGGTTTGTGTGTAGGGGTGTGCACCTGAGGGCAGGTGCTCTTAGAAGCATCGGATTCCCCATGATCTGGAGTTACAGGCAGTTGTATGCCACTCGACATGAGCACAGAAATCATTCCGTGCATAAGCAGTACGCGCTCTTAACCACTGAGCTGTCTCTCTAGCCGCACTAGAGAACTTTTGGAATGGCAGCCTTTACTGTGCCTTCCCTCCACCTTTGTCACTCACTGATCTAGGGGCAACTTCAACCTCTCCTCCAGAAGCCTGAATCTTCCTGTAATCTTTTTCGATCGCCCTTTTCACTCATTTCCTTCTTTCACCCTATACAGCTTCCATTTCCACGAGCTTCAGTTCTGTGCCTTTGGCTGTTTTATCCTCTAAGACAATATCCACTACATCCACACGATGCAGTGAAACACTGCAATCAAGAATGCAGACCTGGGGGCTGGAGAGATGGCTCAGCAGTTAGGAGCACTGGTTGCTCTTGCAGAGGACCTGGGTTTGGTTCCCAGCACTCACATGGTGGCTCACTGATCCAATGCCCTCTTCCAACTTGCATGGGCATTGCACGACATGGGTGCGATTACATACATGTAGGCAATACACTCATACACATAATAAAATATTTTTTTTAAAAAGAAAGCTGAGGTAAGAAAATTACTGAGTTCAAGGCCAGATTGAGCCACATAGTAAACCCTGTGTTTAAAGAAACGTGGAATTGGGACTGGAGAAATGGGTCAGCAGTTAAGAGCACTGGCTGTTCTTGCAGAAGACCAGGTTCGAGTCCCAGCACCCACATGGTAGCTAACAGCTGTGTATAACTCAAGTTCCAGGGGATCCAACACCATCTTCTGTCTTCCACAGGCATTGCACGACATGGGAGACATATACATGCAGACAATACACACATACACATAAAATAAAAATAATGAATAAAATATTTTAACGTGGAATCATAAGTCATTGAAAAATGACTCAATTTTATGTATGTAAAACAAAGGTAATACTTAGTTCATAAAGCTATTAATAGAATCATATGAATTACTATACCAAAGCATCCACAATAATAGATTGTGTCTAGCATGTTTACTGCAAGCCTCTTAACTGCTTTAAGCATTGGAGACATGTCTCTAGAGTAAAGAGAGCTTCCTGCTCTTCAGAGAACCCCAGCTGGGGTCCCAGTGACCATGTTGGGCAGCTCATAACCTCCTGCAACTCCATCTTCAGAGACTCTGACACCCTCTTCTGACCTCCATGGGTACCTGCGCACATGTGTCACACATTTATACAGACACACATGTACATAGAAATACAAGTAAATCTTTAAAAAACTGTTTTCAAAAATGCAGTTATACACCAGTGGATTAACCATTAACACCCAGTTCATGAGATGCTGACAGCACTGAGCTACACAAAGCACTCATAATGGTTTTAGATTTTTCATTGACATTTATAATTAAGGCCTGAGAAATTTACTACATAATCCCAAACTCAAGCATTCTTATTCAGGCGTGTCTAACCTGTGGCCCGTGGGCTGCAAGTGGCTAATGAGAGCTGTGATTACAGCCCCAAAACAAAATTGTCAACTTACTGAAAGCGTTATGAGGCTTTTTCATCATTTTTTATCAACTTGATGGCATGGTTCTTTGTTGCTGTTCTTTTGAAACAGGGTCTCACTATGTAGCCCTGGCTGGCCTGAAACTTGCTGTGTAGACCAGGCTGGCCTCAATGTTACAGAGATCTGCCTACATCTGCCTCGAGAGCTCTCGATCAAAGCCGTACACCAGCACAGCTGGCAGTGGCATGGCTCCTGCACACAAACTCTGTCCCACTGACAAAAGGTGAAACACACCTCAGCCTAACCACGTACTTTTTCCTGTCCATGCCCCAACCTTCTTTCTAGAGAGAGCTGTCATTTTGGCTTTAAAAAAATATTTATTGTTTTTATTTTATGTGTATGTATTGCCTGAATGTAAGGGTACCTGTGTTGTGCAGTGCCTGAGGAGGTCAGAAGAGGGTGTCGGATCCCCTGGAACTGGAGTTGTGGACAGTTGCTAGTCACCAATTAGGTGTTAGGAATCAAACCCAGATCCTCTGGAAGAGCAGCCAGTGCTCTTAACTGCTGAGCCGTCTCCCTAGCCCCATCATTTTGGACTTTCATCAGACTTATACAACTATATATGTAATTATTACATATATAAACTTATGAAATAATGTTTTTTTTGTAGTTGGCATTATTTTTATTAAAGAACTAAGGCTTTCTTTTCTTATCATTTATTTATTATTTATTTATTTATTTAATCTTTTTTGAGCCAGGGTCTCCCTGTAGCCCCAGCTAGCCTGGAACTCATTATGTAGATCAGGCTGGCCTTGAGCTCACAGTCTCTTCTCTTGAAACGGCCCTTCTTGGTTCCATTCTAGTAACTTGAGTTTCCATGAATGGGTAGGTGTCAGAAAGGCTGGACTTCTGTGCCTTCTATCTCCCATACTCTAGATCTCTTTGCATCGGGACATTTAGAGATCCATTTAAAAGATCATTCTAGTCCTTAAACAAACAAAAAAAGCTAAATAAAAGTCAATATAAACCTTACACTTAACATATCAATGCTGTTTTGATTTGATATTAAAGTTTTGGCTGGTTAAGAAATGTGGAAGGGGTTGGGGAACAGAATGTGCACTCGAAGTAGTAAGAAACATTACAGCAACAACCAAACTTAAAATTTCTTCCATCTCACATGAGATTAGGTAGGTTAGCCTATATGTATAACAGTCAATTGTTCTCTCTCTCTCTCTCTCTCTCTCTCTCTCTCTCTCTCTCTCTTTGGGGGGGTCTTTTTTGAGAAAGGGTCTCCCTGTGTCCCCAGCTGGCCTGGAACTCGCTATGTTGGCCTCCACCTCACAGAGAGTGCTGGGACTAAAGGTGTGCACCACTATGCCTGGTAACATTCAACCTTTCATTCAACATAGCTTTATTTTAACTCTACCACGACAAGCAAACACGGGATGTTCGATAAACAGAAGTAACGTCCTGCCTCACCTTCCTCTCCAGGCACCAGGACCAGGTTTGCGAGGAGGATGCTTGCCTCCCTGCTGTTCTTAGGCTGCTTTGACATCACCCATGTCTGAATCTCCTTGGGCATGGTGGAAAGAAACTGCTCCAGCATCAGCTGGTCTATCATCTGCTGCTTGGTGAGGGTTTCTGTCTGCAGCCACTGGTCGCAAAGCTGGTGGATTTGGTCCACTGCTTCATGAGGCCTGGTCACTAAGAAACAGTGAGAACGCCTACACACTGGAGAGGAAGCTTTTGGCGCCTCCGGGTTGCTTATGTGGTTAGTATCTGGAGTCTCTTCTGGATCACGTAGATGAATGGCTTGAGCATTCCTCAAGATATCCAGCATCTTTCTTGTGTGTAGCATCTTTACGGCTTGGCCTTTTGTGGTATGGAGATACTGCCAAAGGCAGGCAGTCTGCTCCAGAAAATGCTGTTGGAAGATGGTAGGAAGAATTCTATCAGAAAAAGACAGAGACCTCAGGACTATAGACAAATATCACATAGTGAGACAAAAGGCCTGTATACTTGGGATTTGGCCAAAGGGTAGAGGTGGTCTTGAGAAAATGGAGTTAGCTCATTTCACACGAATGTCTAAATACACATTCACAGAGATCTGTGCACACATATAGCTTGTATAACAGGAAGATTTGTTCCCAAATCTAGAAAACAGGTGGAGAACAGTATAGCAGAACTAGAACTGAAGGGAAGGGACTTTGCGCCACAGGCTGAAATGAACTAATTTGATAAAGTATTTTAATTTCAAAAATATGAGTTAAGTGCTGTGGATGTAGCTCAGTTGGTGGAATGCTTGCGTAGTACTCATCAAGTCCTGGGTTCAATCCTTAGCACTGTATAAAGTAGACATAGTGCCAAACATCCATAATCCCTAGTACTCGGGGTAGGTAGAAGCAGGAGGATAGAGTGTTTAAGAGCATCCTTGGCTGCCTAGCAATTTGAAGACCAGATTGGGATATGTGAGACCCTTCTAAAAATGTTGAGTTTCTATCTCTAGACAAATGAAATTTCTTACCATATGCTCAATATGGATCCTTATATTTACAGACAAGTATACTGTGCATTACTCATCAAAGAAGCTTCTTTTTGCAATAGATGGAGGCCACTGCAGATTTCCACAACTAGTTACACACAATGAATATACGTTTCCGAGAGACACCCAGTCCTAGGTGACATATCTGCATTGGAATCTCTATACTCGAGACTCATGAACATAGCAGAACAGGGGATAGAGAGAAAACTAACACATCCCTCAACTCTTACCAGTGAAGCTTCCTTTTGCCACAGAGCGGGATGTACACAGAAGGCAACAACTGGCCAAGTTTCAGAGAATAAGAGACCACAGAGTGTGTCCCTGGATAGGACTCCTATATCGAACCTCACCCACCCACAGCTCAGGGACCATTGCAGAAGAGGGGGTGGAAAGATTGTAAGAGCCAGCATAGGGAAGTAGAGGCTTTCAGGCCACTGGAAGCTTACATGTATGAACTTGTAGCAATGGTGGCATCAAGCATGGGACCCATGCCAACTCAATCTGACAAGGACCCAAAGTGGAGCAAGGGAAATGGGTGGCAGGTGGGCCCTAATCTGGCAACTGTTGGAGACTGATCACTGCTGGGTGAGGGAGAGCGGACCTTACTTACGATCTCTAGATAGGCTGACTAGACTCCAGTGGATGAATTTGCACTGAAGGATGTCTGGGTACAAATGTTTGACTGAATAGGATTTAGCTCGTATAGTAGAATGTATGAGGTCTTTGAGGGGAGGAGATGTGTGGGCATGGATGGGGGATCTAAATTTGATTAAGAATTGTTGTCGAGTTTAAACAACTTCAATACCCACTGAGGAAAGATGAGAAAACGACCAACAAGTTGGGGCACAATGTCGTGAGTTATCAGAGACAAGTTTAAACCACAGTGAGATATTGCCATGTACCTTTTAGGATGTCCAAAATGAAGCAATCGGGCAATGGTGAGTGCTGACACAGAGCTAGAACCTCTGGAAGAATGCACTGGAGCTTAAGCAGAAATGTAAATGTGAGCGTTTTGCTAGTAACTGAAGGAAAGAGGCTCAACAAACCTCCCATACATGCTTTGACTTAAAAAAAAAAAAAAAAGCAAAATAAATCTAAGATGCTAGAGTAGTGCTTAAAGGACAGGGATCAGAGAGGTATGGCTGATGAGGATGGACATGGAGAAAGGTAGGGCAGAGGTAGAGGAGGAGGGACAGGGTGAGGAAGGTGTGGTACAGCTGAAGAGGGCCAGGGTTGAGGGATGAGGTGGGATGAAGCTGTGGAGGGGTGGGGTTGAGGAAGAAGGGGGTTTGTAGCTGAGAAGACAGGACAGAGGGAGGAAGTGAGTTAAAGCTGAGGAGGGACAGGATTGAGGGAGGTGGGTTAGAGCTGGGGAGGCAGAGTAAAGCCAAGGAGGACAGACGGATAACCGACACTGAGAGGAGTAGGGTTGACAGGGACACAGAGGAGGACAGAGCAGGGCTGAGGCAGTAATTGGGGTACATTTACACCCAGAGGGTGAGGGGAGGCTGTGACCCCAAGGCAGGCTTGGAATGTAGAACCAGAGTCTTTGGATGCAGGAGGGGACCCAAGAAACAGGGAAGGCTTCCTGGGCCCAGCCTCCAACCTCCAACCCCCAGCCCACCCATTGTCCTCCATCCATCCTAAACTGGTGGTCTCCCATCCCTAAACCCACCATGGGGCAGACCCCTATTTCCCTAAGTCCACCGTGGGGCAGTCTCCCATCCCTAAGCCCACCATGGTGTGGTCCCCCATCCTTAAACCCACTGTGGCTCAGTCCCCTACTCCTAAGTCCACCATGGTGCCCGTCCCTCATCCCTACACCCACCATGGCCCAGTCTCCCATCCACATGCCCACTAAGGCCCAGTACCCCATCCCTAAGCCCACCGTGGCCCAGTGTCCCATCCACAGCCCACTAAGGCCCGGTCCCCCATCCCTAAGCCCACAGAGGCTGGGTTCCCCCATCCCTAAGCCCACCGTGGCCCAGTCTCCCATCCACACGCCCACTAAGGCCCGGTCCCCCATCCCTAAGTCCACAGAGGCCGGGTCCCCCATCCCTAAGTCCACCGTGGCATCCCGCCATCTCACAACCCCACCCTGCTTGGCATCACCTTCTCCCACCGTCACCCTCTCATCTTCAGGTCCCCTCATGCTCATGCAGGGCCAGTCCCCACTCGGAATCTCAATTTCCCCCGGACCCACGAAGAACTCACCTCGCTCTCGCAGCACCTTTGCCTGACTGGAACGCCGAGACTCCAACCTCGGGCGCAAAAATCCTGGACTGCACATGCGCAGTGGCGTCTCTGAGCATGCGCTCTGAGGACAGCACGAGGCCCGACAACTTGGACCCCAGAGTTGAGGAAGCGGCGGGGGCGGGGAGGAGCACCTTCACGTGGTGGGCGGGGTCACGTGGTGGGTCTGGGTGGCTGAGGACCTCGGCATCCCAGAGCTATATGCAGTGGTAGCGTCTGGCTGGGGCCTTCGAGTTGATGCCTCTCGTTTCTTAAAATTACTACATAGTTACACGCTTTGAAAATAAACAGTGCAAACGTCATCCCATCCCATGGTGACCATCTTAATGCTTCGGAATGTTCTTTTTTTAAAAATCTACATGCGGAACCAAGGGAAACCCTGAACAAATGAACCCTCTCCCTTCTCTTGCTTTCTTTTCAGTGACTTCAAAACTCTGTAATTTGGGGCTGGAGAGATGTGCAGTGGGTCAGCGCACTGGCTGCTTTTGCAGAGGACCTGGATTCGATTCCCAACACCCACAGTTGTTAATTGGCAGCTAACAACTGTTGGAAACTCCAATTCCAGGGGATCCTCATGCCCTCTTCTGACCTCCATGAGCACTGTATGTGCATGATACATACACCAGGCAAAACACTAATGCATATAAAATTAATTAAAAAAAATTTTAAATCTAGCCAGACGTGGTGGTGCAGGCCTTTAAGCCCAGGACTCAGGAGGCAAAGGCAGGTGGATCTCTGTGAAATGGAGGCCAGCCTGATCGACATAGCAAGTTCCAGGCCAGCTGGGGCTAGAGAGAAACCCTGTCTTAAAAAAAATTAATAAAAAAAATTTAAATGTGTAGTTTTGCAGGTCAGGCGGTTGATCGGCATTATTACATTTCCCTGTAGCTTTCACTGAGAAGGTACCCTCTGAATCGTGTGCTGTCTTTTCAGAGAATAGAAGTCTGGCTTTGTTGGAATCATCTGCTCTTCACTTGGGCCTGTGTGAAAGGGTAATAATTAAATGTCAGAGTGTGGACCCAAAACTCCACTTTAGCTCATGGTAGTCCTGCCAGTTTCTGAACGTGAACCCCACGAACTGCTGTAAAGTTGGATTACAAGTTCTCAGAATAGATAGGTGAGGTGGCTCAGCCAGTAAAAGTGCTTGCTATCAAGTTTGGGGACTCGAGTTGCATCCCCAGGTTGTGCATGGTGGAAGGAGAGAACAGAGAATTGCAGGCTGTCCTCTCACCTCCATGCTCCTGCTGTGGTGTGGGCATGCACACTGAATAAATAAATACGTAGATGATAGATGAGAGATAGATGATAGATAGATAGATAGATAGATAGATAGATAGATAGATAGATAGATAGATAGATGATAGATGATATAGATAGATGATAGATAATAGATGATAGGTAGATGATAGATTAGATAAGAAATTTTTAAATTTAAATTCAATTTAATTTAATGAGTAGCTCACCTCCAGTCATCTTGTCCAACCAATGTCTTCAGTTCGATTCTTTTCCATTTCCTGCCCTTCCTTGGCTCTCCTCCCACCTCCTCCCCTTCTTTCTTTTAAACCAGGACCCTATACGTAGCCCAGCCTGACTTCAAGCTCACTACATAGAGTCTGCCTCTTTATTCCACAAATCCCCCTAATGGATAGCTTAGAGAATGTGGGTTTGAGATATGTCCTTTAAGGTCTTTGTGCCTGGCTGCCTCATGAGTAAACTTTCTTTTTCAAAACTTATTGTTTAAGTGATTTCATACTGTGCGATGGGCAAAGTTTCAGTATGGTTGTGATTGTGTGTGTGTGTGTGTGTGTGTGTGTGTGTGTGTGTGTGTATGCATCCACAGATATGTATATCTGCATATGCACATATATTTTTTAATTATTAATTAAAGGTGCCACCACCTGCGGTGAGGCCCACAGGCTTGCAACCACACTGTTAACACATGGGCCTGTGAGGAAACATTCAAACTCCAAATCAGGGGCTGGAGCGATGGCTCAGCAGTTAAGCCCACTTGCTGCTCTTACCAAAGACCTGGGTTCACGTTCACTACCCAGTACTCACACAAC